CTAACAGCATTACTGTATCCTTCATTAAAGCGAAACCAAATAGCACTTGGCTTTGACTGAGCTGAATGGCCGCTTGTCTCGCCCTCTGGAACAAGTTTAAGGCAAAAACAGGTTAACTGGTTTTCAGTTTACAAGCCAAATAGGTGGCTAGGTTTTGAAAGAAACGTAATTCCCATAGCAGAGAACACTTCGTCAAGTTTTTTTTCTTGTAGTTTCCTCATATCGCAAACTGTCCAAGATGAAAAGAAGAATTCTGATTGGTTTCCTAAGCGGGCCGAACTTGCAAAATAAGAACCTAACCAATATTTCTCCAATACTGACCTTGCAATAGTTCAATAACTTTCACCAAACATGATATCGCATTCAAGCCTGTCAATGATTTCAATATATTGCGACTCCCACCCCCCTGATTGGAATACATGCCCCTCCTGCGGTCCCTAATAATTCGCCGCTACACATTTTTCTCCAAAGTGGGGTAAGGCATTTTGATAGTCTTCTAAATTCCTAAATTCCACACATGGAAACTTATTTTTATAAGGATGACACAAGAAAGGCTTGCGTTGCACCGTGAACAAATGTAGTAACTGCGTCACAAAAGTATGCAAAATCACGTGATTTCTGAGAAAAAAAAGTCACATTTGGAGTGTTGTTTTGTGAAGAAACTTTTTTTGTCAAGATTTTGACAAGAAACACGAATGAGAAAGACTTACAACTTATTTGGCACTGAACTACGAAACTGACTTCAGAAAGAAATCTTCTTTGAAGTCTTTAAACTGTTCTTGCCACAAGATCGGTCTTTCACATGTTTTGAAGATGGCTGCCTTTAGCTCGCGCTTCGAACAAGCCAAAAGTGCACAAAATGCTGCTGTGTTAAGCCGTTGTCGGCCAAGAACCTCAGACACTATTTGTGGCTTTAAAAACGTTTCCGGACCTGTTTCTGGGCTCATCTACCGGGAAATTGTTATTTTCTCGCATTTTCTTGCATAACAACTTGAAATAACTTTGTTTGGTTTGCCTTGTGGCCCTTCCGTGTTAGCATCACAACTTGAATCTTTAATCAGAGGATTATAGTCCGGTTTAGATGGATTATTGCTCCTTCCTCATGCCATCTCGTCAAATTCATGAGAAATATCCACAAATACGTAATGATTTTCTTTGCACAACAACACTGGTCTAAACTACGATGTTGATATAAACCATAAGTATTTGTTTTCTCAGAAATAGCGCAATTTTCCGTACTTGTTTGATTCAGTCCGCAAGTTTAGAACTGTAAGAACTGTAAGCTTAGGATCCAGCCACATGCCCGGCACGCCTCCCAGACCCATCTAAAGTAAGACGTTTAATTTAATTCTCGCACACGTGCATCTGACAAGACTATACATTACAGTTGATTACCTGTAAGCTTTGGTTTAACCTTTATTGGGCGACCAAAGAAGTCCAAAGCAGGCTGTAAAGAAAGAAATACATTTAAAAATACTCTAGTTAACTAATTGGAATCACTGAAATTGAGAAAAAGCAAAAGTTAGTGCAATCAATCAATTAATAGAGCGGTTTTCAGTTGAGTGTCGAAAGTAATTAGACAATTACTTTGGTTTTGGTTTTGGTTTTACTACAGTTTGAGCTTAGCTGAGAAGTCTAATTGGTAAGTAATTGGTTTTGGTTTTGGTTTTACGACACTCAATTGGAACCTCTCTAATCAACTAATCAATTAAACTTAGTGCAATCAATCAATTAATATTAATAATAATTAACCAGTCAGTCAGTCAGTCAGTCAGTGGGTCAGTCAGTAAATCAATCAATCAATCAATCAATCAATCAATCAATCAATCAATCAATCAATCAATCAATCAATCAATCAATCAATCAATCAATCAAT